GGGGGGGAGAAACATTGATGTGAGAAAGAAACATCGATTGGTTGCCTCTCACACGCACACTGACCAGGGATTGAACTCAAAACCTGGGTATGTGCCCTGACTGGGAATTGGACACACAACCTTTTGGTGTACAGGACTATGCTCAACCAACTGAGCCACCCAGCCAGGGCTCCACAATTTTGATAGAAGCTTTTAGTGTTGAAGTATGGATTTTTAAACTGTTACTTCCATTGCATTGCTTTGAATATATTCACTACTATAATGAAAGTGTATTAGAAGGCTCACTCAACATGTCAACCTGCTAAAGTCGATTTTGTCTTTTCTTTAAATCTTTCTTTTCAGTGACATTTTGATTGAGTTCAGAGACGATAGCTAGACTTTTTGATATCTAGTTGTTAGATACTACTTAAAGGAGACCTGTTTAATTACCCTGAGAAGCACACAATCACATGTGACCCCACAGTGAAGCTTTTGCAAGCATACTCAAATACATTTTAGAAACAAATAACAAAGATTTTCAGATAGCTATGATGTTCCTTCATTTGGAAAATAGCCCCATTATATGAAAACTCAGTTCCATCAAGAAAACAAATGACAAATGTACTAGTGGAAATAATTTTCCAAGTTATAGTAAAGGAAAAACAGGTTATGTTTCCATGTATAAAAGTAGAGTGCTGCTGATTCTGAAGTTGTTAGTGGAAGAGGAAACCATATTAAAAACAGTTGTGATTAACTGCTTCTAAGAGTTACTAAACAGGCCTTTCAGTAACATCTGATCAGGTCTTTCAACATTATGAACTAAAATAAAGTCTTCTACACAGAAATTATGACTTACAGTCCTCACAGTAAATTTCCAATTTACCAAGGAATTACCAAGTAATTTACCAAGTTCTTTACAAAGAATAATAGGTCAAAGTCTTTCCACTAATGCATAAAAAAATCAAGAATGGAAACCATAAAATATGACAAACTGTTGAAATGTATATGTTTATGACCTAATCCTAAATCTGACTTACATCATCACAGGGTTTGTTTGTTTGTTTGTTTGTTTTTAACATCCTCAAAGTCAAATATCAGCAGTAAAATCACTCTCCTGCCATAAGGTCAATGTACTCTAAACAAATAGATACGGTGCTTTTAAGAACTGTTACACAATGTTCAAATATCCAAAATGGAGAGGAAATGCGATCCAGAGAAAAAGGTATAAACCTTTGGTTGAGCTGTGAATTTCAAACTAAACATGTAAAAAGTAAAATTTTTAAAAAGAACAGAATTGCCAAATTTTAGGAGAGAAGACTAAGCAAGAGGTGGTGTGAATGCAATATAGTTTACTATTTTAATAATGTTAATAGAATACATATCATATTATGTTTTTTGTTTGTTTATTTATCCTCACCCAAAGAGTGAGAATATTTTTTCAATTGATTTTTTTTCTTAGAGAGAGAGCGGAAGGGAGGGGGGAAGGGGAAAGAGAGAGGAGAGAGAAACATCAGTGTCACAGAGACACATGGATCGGTTGCCTCCCACAGGTGATTCCCAGAGGCCCCGCCTCTCCCTACCTGCAAGCTCATCCACACCATTTCCAGAGGGAAGAGGGAAGGGGGGTGGAAGGTGGGAAAAGATTAACCAAAGAAGTTTTATGCATATATGTATAACCCATGGACACAGACAATAATGGGGTGAAGGCCTGGGGAGGGTGTGTGAGTGAGGTGGAGGGGGTCAATTGGGGGGAAAATGGGACACCTGTAATACTTTCAATAATAAAGATAATATAAAATAATAAGTTCCTGGACACTGGCTGCTGTGGCTCAGTTGGTTGAGCATCATCCCATGTGCCAAGAGGTCGCCTGTTGGATTCCAAGTCAGGGCACATGCCAGGGTTGAGGGTTCATCCCCAGTAGGGGTCATGAAGGGGGCGGCCAATTGATGTTTCTCTCTCTCTGATGTTTCAATCTCTTTCCCTATCCTTTCCTCTCTCTCTAAAGTCAATAAAAACATATTTTTAAAAAATAAGTTCCTGGGTCCCATCTCCTGGAGATTTTGATTTGGAAAGTCTGGAGTGAGTGCCAGGAATCTGTATTTATGATAAAATATAAAGCTCATATTAGTGTATTCAGGGATTTCCTCCGTTGTTTCAGCTAGTTCTTGGAACTGGTCCCTTATTTCAGGGCTTTTCAAACTCTGCTGTATATAGGAACCACCTGCAGATGTTACTAAGAAGGAGATTCTGATTCAGTAGGTCTGGAATGTGGCCTAGGAACATGCATTCCAACAAGCTTTGGTAGTAAGATCTTAAGGGATCTTTTAGTCTTTCCGCAGGCAAATGATAGGAGGCAGGTGCTACCGCTAGAATATTTTCTTCAACTTTTACCTAAACATCCTTTAGCATAGCTAGAGCGCACAATTTGCAAAATATTTGACCTATCTTTACTATGTAGCCTACTACCAAGGGAATGGAAATTACTTCCCCCATTTCCAGAATATCACTAAAAGATAAGTGTTACCAATGTCACCATGCAGAGGTGAAATTAAAGTTTACATAATTTCCAAGGATTTCCAATATACAAGGATGTTGACCACAATCATAATTATAATGGTAAAATGTTGGGGAAAATCTAGATGTCCAATAATACAGGACTGATTAAATAACTTACAAAGGGATCTAATAAAATAATGATGTAAATGTACAATTACTGGTAACAAAAAGATGTTAATGATAAGTTTTAAAAGGGTTTTGTAAAAACTTACAGTTCAATTCCATTCTGTGGGGAGAAAATATACAAAAAGTCATATATACATTTATGCAAAAGAAAGAGTCCGGAAAGATATACTAAATTGCTTAAAGCACCCTCAAAGCAGTAAAACTTCAGGTGGTTTTGATGTTTGTTTCCTTGCATTATCTAATATTTCTACTGTGACACGGGCCTTATAAAATTCTCAAAGGGTAAAAATGGGGTGAGAAGAAAATCAAGCAAACCCCATACCCGCACACACTTTTCTAGAACTAATAGAATGGATCTCCTGCTAAGTAATTTGCATTCCAAAGAGTCATTAAGGGACTTTCCATATTCAAAGCCCTTTGGTTTTTTGTTGTTGTTTTTTGTTAATCCTCACCCGAGGATATTTTTTCCATTGCTTTGAGAAAAAGAGAGAGAAACATGGATGCGTGAGAGACACATCAACTGGTTGCCTCCCAAACATGCCCAACCAGGGCTAAGAACCAGCAACCCAGGTACTTGCCCTTGACCGGGAATCAAAATTGCTGTCTGGCATCCCACCCCGACTTGCTGAATTTGAATCTCTGACAATAAACTCCAAAATCTGCATATGAAGCAAACACTGACTTTTACAGAGAATAGTTTCGAAACTTGGTGTTAAACAAAAAAGCTTCCTAGAAATGCAGGAACTTGCACTAAATTTCAAACCTATCTAACCAGCAACCTACAGTATATTCAGAATGGGTAAAAGAAGACATACCCACAGGCACATAGACCACTGGGATTTGAACAACAACCCATCTAGAACTACTGGCTTTATTCTATGCTAATTTTAAGCATCTCCTGTGAATACCGACCATTCTCTTGAGCTGATTGAGGTCACAAAGGTCTTCCTTATACAATATTTGACCTACTATTATAACTCATTCTATGATACTCAACCCCTGTGTAGTCATTCATTAGTTAGAAGTCCACAAAAACATTTATTATGGAATCAAATATCTAGGTGATTCAACTACGGTCCTGTTGCTTTCATTTCTCCTTTCTAAACACATTTCATTTGACTAACCTCAGTAGATTCTGCTGCTTATTTCTTCCAGAGATCCTCTTCGAGGTAAACACAAAGGCATGGGGAAGTTTATATTAATAGAAGTCCTCAAAGAATCAAGAAAAGCATTTCCTGTTCTAAAAAAACTACATGAACCCCCAATATTTGTTGAAAGAAAAAGAGAAAAGGGAGATATGACACAATATATGTCTAACATATCACAGTCTCAAGTACTTATTATAAAAATCAACCCATGGGTGGGGGTGGGGAGAGATTAACCTAAGAACTTATATGCATAACCCATGGACACAGACAATAGTGTGGTGAAGGACTGTAGAAGGCCTTAAGAGGGTACAGCGTGGAGGGAATCAATGGGGGGAAAGGGGACATCTGTAACACTTTCCACAATAAAGATAAAAAATAATAATTTAAAAAAATCAACTCATAAGGCATAAATTTAGTAAAAGTTTTCAAAATGAGACGTTAAGAGTTTCAGGAATTTCCTAATGTTAATAAATTAAGAGCATTTTCCCAAAGAAAGCAACGATAGTTTTTCCCCTCTCAAACCAGAGGGGAAGACAACCGGAGAAAAAAAATTTGGCGTGAGGTCCTATGAGGATCTAGGAAAGGAGCATAATTTCAGGGAGGTGGGGGACAAGCAATTAATTTTATTTTAATCTATGGTGCATTTTAATCTTGGATCACTCAGAAGACCGGGTCAACTAAAATTGGAATTTATTAAAACCAAGAATATTATATACCCACCTGCAGCTCACACCAAGCAACCTCAACCCATGTTTCGGTGTCCAGTCCTTTATATACTGTTTTAAATGCTCCTCTTCCCAGCTCTATATCGAATTTCAGGAACCTGCCACTAGGAGAAGTAGCTACAGCCTTCATTTCTGCTTCTTCTTCCATTTCCTTTTCATTTTTTTCCTTGAGACAATCTTTTGAGGATTCGGAAGTTGCCTTTGAACATTGTGCGAATTTAACTTCTTGTTCACCTTTTAGCACATTTGTAGGACGCTTTTCTACTCTTGGAATATTTGTTGCAGTCTTTGTTCTCTCATCTTTAGAGGAAGAATCAATAACTTTGTCATCAACACTCTTTCGGAAGAATCTCTTCCTTTCTATAGTTTCTCCAGAAGCAGAGAAGGTATTGTCTTTTTCCTTTATTCTAGCTTCCACTGTCAAAGTTGCTGCCATCTGATGAACCCTGTTTTCCAATGAAACTCCATCAGGTTTCTCAGAATCTTCTGTGCTAGCTGGCTCCCCTGAATCAGTAGCCATTGTAATTAAGGTTGGCACTAAAATTTTTCCTGTTCTACCCTTCAGTCCAGTTACATCTCAGGTATCCGAATGATCAGAATTGACTTCCTTTTTATGTGGTCATGTTTCCATAGTAACCTGAAGGGGGAAAAAGGATATTTTAAAATTACCCCACAAAGGAAATCATTAAGGATAAAACAAGTCACCTGATTGTTTAATCCATTTTTTCTTAATAAGAAGTTTGTTCTTTTTTCTGTCCAAGCTTAGCAACCAACAGACTCCAGGGACTATGTCTTATCTTGTTTACCACAGTAGCCCTCAGTGCCTAGCACGCTACTTGGCATATAGCTCAATAAATCTTCGTACTGAATGAATGTTGGTTAGGAACTTACTTCTCAGTCCCATTTATCATTCCATCGTATTTAAAACAAGATTCTAAACCCTCAGTTCACTTAGCTACAAGGTACACACACAATAATTAAAACAAGCACATTATATCTCAGTAAGTGGTTTTTGTCTAAAATTCTGGAATTAATCCGATGGTAGTTTTTTTCACTGTGGTAAAATATACTTAATATCAAATTTACTATTTTAACCATTTTTAAACATACAATTCAGTGGCTTTAAGTATATCTACAATGTTGTACAATCATCACCATGATCTATTTCCAGAACTCTTCATCATCCCAAACTGAAATTCTGTATCCATTAAACAATAACTCTTCATTTCCCCAGTCCCTAGTAATCTCTATCCCACTTTCTGTCTCTATGAATTTGTTTATTCTAGGTACATCATATAAGTGGAATCATACAGTATTTTCCCTTTTGTGCCTGGCTTATTTCACTCAACATGTTTGCAAGGTTCACTGATGTAGTAGCATGTATCAGAATTGCCTTTCTTTTTAAGGTTGAACAATATTACATTGTATGTATATACAACATTTTGTTTATCCATTCATCTGGTCAATGGATTGGGTTGTTTCCACCTTTTGACTACTATGAATAATGCTGCTATGAACCTCCAATTGTAGTTTTGAGTAACACAAATACTAGTTTATGAGCTTGCCTCAGATTTATCAGAAACTACTGTAAAATAGTAACATACTATACGAAAAAATTAACACGCTATACTAAATCTTTTAAGAAATACTTTAAAATATGCATCCTCTTGAGCCAGCAATTCTACTTATAGGAACTTGCCTTAGAAAATAGTCAATTTGTGCAAAGATTTAATTATAAAGACATTCATTATAGCACTTATAATTTGCAAAAACTGTAACTAAACGTAAGTATAACAGGTATTTAATTAAATATCTCAAAATGAGATAGGATACAATATTTTTAAAAAACACCAGTTTTTAGTGAGACGAAAAGACATTCCCAGATATTATATGGTTAAATGAAATGCATACAACAAGCTTTCATATATACATACATACATACATACATACACACATACACAAATATTAATTCTGAGTGGTATAATTATGGACTTTCTTTTCTTTCTGCTTTTCTTGTATTTTCTAAAGCTTTCCACAAAGAACATGTGGAAATATGAGGAACATATAAGAAAAAAGTTGTTCTTTTTAAAAAAAAATTTTAATTTTATTTTTATTTTACAGTTTATATTCAAAGGAAAAAGTTTTTCAAATGAATGGTTGAACCAACAATAAGAAAATTTTCTCCTCTCACCACAAACATGCATCACAAAGTTAAGCCTGTATACCTATTATTATTCTATGCACCTTAGATGGCACATTTTGTCACATCAAAAAAATACACAGAAATATCAAATTTGAAAAACTGGGAATAACAACCTCCAAAACAAACAAAATGGGGAGGAATACCCCAAATTGTTCTACATATTCAACACAATTCCTATCAACATCCCAGCTAGTTTCTTTGCAGAAATGAACAAGCTGATCCTAAAACTCATAAAACTTCAAGGGACTCAGAATAGCCAAAGCCAAAACAATCTTGAAAAAGAACAAAGTTGGAGGACTCACCCTTCCCAATTTTGAAACCTACCACAAAGCTACAGTATTAAGACAGTATGGTACTGGCATAAGGATAGATGTATAAATAAATGGAATGAAAATAAGATAATCCAGAAATAAAACCCACATATTTATGGTCGACTGATTTTCAATAAGGGTGTCAAGACATTTCAATGGGGAAAGAACACTCTTTTCAACAAATGGTGCTGGGACAACTGGATATCTATATGCAAAAGAATGAAGTCAGACACTCTAACAAAGGTTTAATGGAAAAGATGCTGGAACTGAGTCTCAAAGAAAATTACCTGATACGACCAGAGGGAAGATTACAAGCAAAATCATGAAACAGCATGGATTAAGTGTATGAATGGTACCGTGAACAGTTTACTCACATATTAGAAGCAGGCAGATGAAAACAGAGAGGCAGTCACCAAGGAATTCTATGTCATACAATATAAAATAAGAAGACCAGTTAGAAATCTACTGCAGTAATCCAGGAAAGAGATGCTGAGGTTTGAATGAAAATATTGGCAAGAGGGATAGATTTAAGATACATTTAAAAAGTTCCAAATTCAAGGTTTGTTGCCTGAATAAATATGGTTGTTAGGGGAAAGGAAGAATCTATGATAACTCCTAGAAATTTGCCTATCAGATGACACTACTAGGACATAGCTGTGTTAATAATATGAGATAAGAATTACAGTCATGTACCACATAATGACATTTTGGTCAAAGATAGACCACATACACCATATAGTCTAGGGGTCTAGTAGGCTATACCATTTAGGTTTGTGTAGGTACACTCTATGATGTTCACATAGATGAAACTGCCTAACAACGCATTTCTTAGAACAAATCTCTGTTGTTAAACGGTGCATGACTGCAAACTAAGGACTCATGAACAGCTTTATGATGTTACATTGCCAAATCAGTATATTTCAAAAGTCACTGAATAAGACTAGTATTACCTGCAAGTCAGAAAAGGTAACTAACAACCCCTCACTTAGGTGGAGACTTTTTCTTTAACTTATTTTGACAAAATTTGGGCTTAGAAAAATGTCTACAAAGAATTGAATACACCCTTCATTCAAATTCTCTAAATGTTAACATTTTAGGTGAGATATTCTTAAGAATATTATTCACTTCACTTAACTAAAGGTCACTTATCCAGAAACCTCAAGAACAGAGATCCATAAGACAAAGGACTTGTAAAAAGACAAAAATAGGTTAGGTAAAATAAGAGATTTTAAGTAACTGCAGAACCACTTTTTAAAACAAAAAACAAAAAAACAATTTTACTCAGAACCCTAATATAAAAACAGAGGGGCACCCGGCCGGGCATGGCTCAGCGGTTGAGCATTGACCTAGGATCCAGGAAATCAGGGTTCAATTCCCAGTCAGGGCACATGCCCAGCTTGCAGGCTCGATCCCAAGTCGGGGGCGTGCAGGCGGCAGCTGATCAATGACTCTCTCATCATTGATGTTTCTATCTCTCTCTCTCCCTCTCCTTTCCTCTCTCTGAAATCAATAAAGGTATTTTTAAAAAAATTAAAATAGAGGGGCAAGTAGTGCTGCTCTAGAGTAATTCTAACATGTTTGGTCACCTGGTTTTCCAAACTATAGGATAAGAAGCAGAAAATAAGAGGGATTGGGAAAGGAGTGATCCCTCAGTCTTTTAAAAACCAGCCTTAAGATAAAAAATGTTATAGAGACAAAGAGGGGATTTTTATAAGTATGGAAAGATTAATTCATCAGGACAATATAACAGTTATATACATCTAACAACAGAACCTCAAAATACATTAAATTAAAACTGAAAAGAGCCTGGCTGCAGTGGCTTAGTTGGTTGAGCATTGTCCCATGCACCAGGAGGTCACCAGCTGGATTCCAGGTCAGGGCACATGCCCAGGTTGTGGACCCAATCCCCCTGGAAGCATGCAAAAGGCAGCCAACCAATGTTTTCTCTCATCGATATTTCTCTCTCTCCCTCTCCCTTTCTCTTTCTGAAATCAACAGACACATATTTTTTTTTAAACTGACAAAATTGGAGAAATAGACAATTCAGTAATAACAGTAGAAGGTTTGAATACCCTACTCTCAATAATGGAGAGAACAACTAGATAGAAAACTAGCAAGAAATCTGGAAAACTTGGCCAATACTATCAACCAACTTGACCTAACTGCTACCTATAGAACACACCACCCAACGAAAGCAAAATACACATTCTTTTCAAGTACACATGGAAAAATCTCCAGCACAGATCATATACTATGCAAAATAAATCTCAATAAATTTAAAAGGATTGAAATCAAACAGAGTTTACTACCACAAAAAATTAAATTAGAAATGAACAACAGAATAAGGATAAATATATAGATCACCGCAATAAAATTAAGAGTCTAGAAATAAACCTTAACATTTATGATAAATTGATTTTCAACAAAGATGCCAAGACTATTCAATCAGGAAAGAATAATCTTTTACAAAAGGTGCTGGGAAAGCTGCATATCCACATACAAAACAATGAAGTTGGACCCCTACCTCACACCATACAAGAAATATACTCAAAGTGGATCATAAACCTAAATGTAAGAGCTAAAACTATAAAGCTCTTAGAAGAAAACACTGAAGTAAATCTTCGTGACTTTGTGTTAAGCAATGATTTCCCAGATACAACAAAAATACAAATGATAAAACAGAAAATTGAGAAGCTGAACCTCATCAAAATTTAAAATTTTGTGCCTCAAAAGATGCCAAGAAAGTGAAAAGCAAAAAGACTTCGAGAAAATGTGTGCAAATCATATATCCGATAAGAGACTGATATTCAGAACACATAAAAAATTCTTACAAGTCAATAATAAAAAGATAAATAATCCAATGGGCTGAAGATCTGAATATACATTTCTCTAAAGAAGATATACGGATGTTCCACATCATTACTCATTAGGGAAATGCAAATCAAACTAAAATGAAATACTTTATACTCATGAGGATGGTTACAATAAAAAAGATAAACAGTAACGAGTGTTGGTAAGGATGTAAAGAAAATGGACCCCTCATACATTGCTGCTGGGAATGTAAAATATTGCAGCTGCTTTGAAACATAATCTGACAGTTCCGAGTTACTATATGATACCATC